AGGGGGGGGGAATGGAAATTCTTTCCCCGTCTTTCCAATCTGCTGTCTGCAAAAGAAGCAGTGATTTTATTTTCCCTTTTGAACCCAGTAGATTCCCTAATATCTATACAGAATTTAGAAAGCCAACAGACATACAGGACCACCTGCCTGAAGCCCTAGTGTCTTTGTAATGACTTCAGGGAGCTCTCATCTCCAATCTTCCCCTAAAACTCCCCCCTCCTCCCTTCACACTCCTACCATGACTGTCAGGCTGTGAACTGCACCACAGAAAGGAGACATTCAGATTTTGGCTGAATTTTCCACCTGTGGCTGCAGGAAGGGATAGCATGTGCTCCCCTAAGTTGGACCTCCATTAGTTTCATCCCATGCATAGGAAATTGGAACCACTGAAAAATTGGACATTTCTTACAGTTTTATTTCCTAGGCTTTGACATTTCTTTGCTAGACCTTACCTTGTTGGCAGTTTAGAGAGCTTGCCACAGGCATGTCTGAACCATGATGCCAATCTCTGGGCATTTGTACACATGCTTGTGCTTTTAAAAAGTGCCCAGCACTGTGGTATATACAGTTGTATAACTGGCAAAATGCACATCAGTGCTGAGAAAATGGCAGCAGTGCAGTTTTGACCTAAAAACACAGAGGTGTTTTAGTTCAAAAGTGCACTGCTGCTATTTTCTGCATGATGACGTGGATTTGGCCACTTATACAACTGCACACAAAGCAGCGCAGTGCGTGTCAGCTCACACACAGAGCAGAGAGTCTGCTCTGACCCACCAGATCTCGTGCGCATTGCAGAATGAAAAGGTATGTATATAAATGCCCTCTGTTTTTCATAGTTTCATAGTTTTAGGGTCAAGTTTTAATCTTGTTCAAGATCCATTCATTTTTAGCAAGTAGAAATGCAACCTTTTCAGACGCTAGTAGTTGCCAAAAAGGACACATTTGTTTCTTTGTGCTCCTGTCTTAAAAGCAGTGTGTCAAAGTGAATAACATTGTACATGCCCACGTCACTCATAACTGTTCTGTGAACCAATGTCTTCTATTCTATAGAAGGCTGTATCCCACAACGTATAGTAGGAGAAGTCTGAAGCTGCTTGGCTGCTGTTACAAACATGGACCATCTCAAAAATCCTAGGCATGGGTTTATTTGGGACAGGCAGAAAGTTGTACACCGTTTTATTCAGATCACAGCCAGCTGTGAGCCACAGCCCAGTGGGGAGGAGGGAGAAAGAGCCCACTCCTGGCAATGGGCCACCATTATCTCTGAGCTATATCCCCACCCCTGCATGAAGCACCCCACAGGCCTAATGCAGAGCCCAGGAGAACCCCCAGTGCATAGCCACAAGCCCATGGGAGATAAGCCCTGGTCCTCACACTCTCTCCCAGGAAGCTCCAAGGAGAGGCATGGCCCCCAGCCCCCAAGCAGGAGCCAGGTGGCAGGGGACAGGAAATTGGCACTTGGGCCTACACCAAGCCAGCCCTGTGACCTCCATGGCTTGGGCAGTGCTAGTAGGTACCTGGTCCATGGACACCTGGCATACAGAAACGTTTTTTTGCCACTTCAGTACCACATGAGGCATGGCCACTGCCTCCAAAGCGGAAGTCAAGGACCTTTGAAATTTACAGCCTGGGCTGGGTATAGGGCATTGCCAGAATCATGGGGTTTTGCTGGAAGCCCCTGGAAGTTTTGAGATTGTGGAGGTCCTTCCATCCATCCATCCACCCACCCATCCAGCCTTACACCCACCCCCTTGCAGTGAGAACCTCACCCACGTATGGATGCTGAGACCCCAAGGGCACCACTGCAAACCATATTTAAACCTGCCCACCCCTCCACTATCAGCAAAACCTGGGCATGAAACCAGGAGCTCAGGAAGATAAAGGATCTCATCACCATCTAAGGTGAGGAAGAGATCCAGCACCAGCTCCAGGAAAGCCACCACATTAAACACGTCTTCAAGTGCATCACCCAGCAGACACAGGCACAAGGTGACAATAGGGACTGGTTGCAGTGCCTTGCTAAGACCACGGTGCTGAAGAGGTTGTATCACCACACACTTGATGCTAACAAGAGGTCCAGGGGCTGGAAGCAGAGTATGCCATTTTACAAGGACCTGCCCCACTTCCTCACCAAGCGCAGGGCCATCAACACCCCCCCATACCTACAGTGACATAGGAAGTGTCCCAAGCAGAGACCCTGCCCAGAGGATGAGGTGGTGCAGGGAAGCCCCAAAACACCATTCCTTACACAGGAGCCGTGGCTGTTGTAGAGCCAGTCCTCTCAGACCCTCCTGTGCCCCTCCCAGTGGTGAAGAGTGTATACCAGTCCACACAATACCAGTGTAGTGACCACTGCACCAGCATAACCTGCAGGATCCATGGCCAGCCCTCCCCCCACTTCTTCTGATGAGTCAGCCCTACATAGGGATGCCATGCAGTCCAGGATGGTAAGCTCCATGGGTCCAGGATGGGGACCCAGGCCTGGGGGAAACCCAGAGCAGAGGAGAGGAAGGAGCAGGGAGAACCACAGCTACTACAGACCATCACTGCAGTCAGAGCCCAACCCCAACCCTCCCCACATCCTGCAGTCACATCCCCATCCCAGCTGTGATTGTGGAAAGAAAAGGTTGGATCACCCCCCGCCCCAAATCCACCACCCGAATCCATGAAAGCAAAGCAACACCTCCGCACTCCACCTTGCAAACACCTCCTGGGATGTCAAGCTCATTATGGTGAAGCCCCAGTTACAACTCAAGGCAGAGTCTTATGTTGAAGGTCAACCCCAGGTTTCCTGGAATACCATCAAAGCAGATGGCCCACTCCCACCTGTCGAGATGCTCTCAGGGGACCATGTTAAGCAGCAAGAACACAACATATTGGCTGGGGCACTCCCTGGGAAAACTGAAAAAAACAAAGTATAGACCTAGGTCAGAGAAGTGGAGCCAAACAGCCTTTCCAGAAACAGAAGCATGGGGGCGGGGGTAGTGCAAGAACCTTTCTGACCCAACTGTGTCTCATCCCAGCAATGTTAAGACCCAAATGCCAGTCCCACAGGGATCCAGCCCAAAAACACTTCTACTATACATACCTCTATAAGGTAAGAAGAGGAAAAGGGAACATTGAAAGATCCCAAGTGGCCAATTCTTGCCTGCCTCGGGGATGGTGACTCCAGGATGGCTGCCTGAACACCTGCAGAGTGCATGAGGTGCTAGCCAAATAAAGAAAAAATGTGACAAGCTCTAGTCACAGCCTTTACCCCCAGGGTTTGCACCAAGGACTTCCGGCACCAGGAGCTGCGAGACCAGCATAAGGAACAACTTGGGACATGTAGGGGTAAAATAAACAGGCTGAGGGGTGCTTACACCTGGGCTACCAAACCACATGACCAGGGGCACCCACTGTTTGGAGGAGACAATCCAGGCTGCAGTGGAGCTCAGAGAGTCATAGCACCCAGATAGGGAGTTGATGTGCAGAATCTAGAACCACTGGGATCCACCTATGACTGGCATCAGCACTTGGCTCCCATGGACAGCCCCAAGCCATCCTGGGCAAGGGTGCTGAGATACATGCCACGGGAGGGCTGGGTGGCAGTGCACCCCCACTCCAGGGATTCTTCCCCAAGGGGGCAAGAACATGGGTCCTAAATGGGAGGACCCCGGGATGACAGCTGTGATGGAACACTCCCCACCATGCCCCAACTGGGAGGTGCTGAGGAGCAATGGGGAGCCTGGACAGCCTATATCATGTCCGATGCCTTGAAGATGACATCCATGGCCTAACACCCAGCCTTAGCTTGTTTGGCCTTAACACCCGGCCCATAAGCCCATGCCCTTGCACTGGGACCCACACTCCAGAGTCTCACATGGGACTCTCACTCCCCACTGGAGCGTGTAATCTCTGTGCCATCACACTGGGCTGTTATTCAATAACTCAGGGCTCCCACCCCTCCCTACTCAGGGCCCCCACACTGGGGTCTCATCCCCTGCCCTACACTGGGCCTCATAAATCCCCTCATCCCCTTGCTCAAGAAGCCTCACATGTAGCTCCCTCAGCTTATGGTCCCAGCCCCCTGGAGCCTCACACCTGGCTCCTTAATGCAACCTTGGAGCTCTCAGTGAGTCTGGGTACTACCTCAGGTCCCTTCATGACTTGGGGCCCTACCTCAGGACTCACTGTGAGCCTGGGCTCCAGCTTTGTTCTTTAGGGTATGCTCCCCTAGTCTTTCCCCTCCATGGAGCCACCTGCAAGGCAGCAAGTGCTGAGGCTTTCTGGTGACCCATACTTGCCCTTCACTGGGAAGGCCCAAGGTGTGGCATTTCCTGTAGACTGCCCCCACCACCAGCAGTCCCACCACACCTAATCCTCCCCAGCAGGAGGTAGTTTTAGGTCATGCCCCAGGACCAGGAGCCTCCTGCCATCCCCATAGCTCCTGCCCTTACCTCCCAGGTGTCACAAGCAGCAGCTCCAGCTGGTGGTGTTCTCCTGGCTGTTAGCAGCAGACTTCTGGCCTTGCTGCTCAGAGCCCTGTTCTTATAGGGAACAGCCGAGTCCTGTTCCCAGTCAGGCAATTCAGCCTAATTGGGACTGCAACCAGCTACAGGCTGCCTTCCTGCTGTTCGTGCCCCTGTGAGTAACAGAGCACACCCCATACTCCGTTACACTCATCTACACTATACCCAAGCCTCACAGGAGCTTCTGTACCCTTGTCCACTCTGTAAAGGTCTTGGCTTTATTAGCCTTCTCTCTCACTCAGCCTTTTAGCACAGGCCCATGGTACAGACTCTGGCTTCTGGGCTCCAGCCTCCCTGCCTATAGGTCCCCAACACTCTCAGTCTTGGTGGTGGTCCCTCTTGCACCTTTGGCCCCTCCTGGGCTCTGGACACAGTCCTGGGCCAGTTGGGACCACACTGCTCCCCCATCCCTGGCACGCTCTGCCTAAAGCCCCTCTTGGGCTACCAGCTCTTTAAGTAGGCCTTGAGCTTGCTCCAGTAGGCCACCAGTGTAACTTTAAAACAAAATATGTATGCCCTCTGGCAGATGCCCAAACTTTCTCTAGGCTTAACATAAAATAGGGAACTGCTGCCTGCACAAGCAGGCCTTTCTCTCTGCCCCAGGTAGCTTTCTTCTAGTGCCAGACCTGCAGAGTCACTTACCTAGTTCCACTGCGATTTCAGGAGCCCTGCTGCTCTGTTATCAGAAGCTCCTCTTTTCCTGGTTCCCAGGGCTAAGCATCCTGACCAGCTGAAGCCTTGGGCTTATGTAGCTCCAGCCCACCCCTTTGCTGGTCAGATGACTCTCCAATTAACCCTCTCACCACCTGCAAGTTGCCTGTCTGGCAACTTGCCCACTTAAAAGAACATCACACCCTGGCACCCTGCTTCAAATCAGGCAGATCAGGGGAATACTCTAACCACTGAGGTACCAGTATTGCCTCCTCACTATCTTTTCTGACCTGATAGGTGTGCTCTGAAAACATTTACCCCAAAAGTGACTTGGGGAATACTTGTTTGGGAAATTCAGCAAATGCTGAGATATGAACAAGGGCTCTGACAAGTTCAGTGCCCTCAGGGCTTAAGAGGCACTATGCATTCCCAGCAGCAAAATGTTGTTGCCTTGGGGAAGTTATTAGCAGAAACCTAGCCCCCTAGGGATTGCAGAGCCAGAATGAACCTCTGGAGACATACAGGTATCCTCCTATTCCTATAATGGGGGTCACAGATTGGCCCAGAGGGAGCAGAATTGCTCCTACTCCTTATTTGAGTAACTCAAAGTTGGTCAGAAGGTGGGGAAGATGACACTTTAGAGATAAGTAAAAGCTCTGTTATCCAGCATCCATGGTGAATGGGGGTGCCAGTTCATCAAATATGCCAGTTATCTGAGAGTTTATCTCCTGGCTTATCTTCCGCCACATCTGATATGCCAGGGCTTTCACTCCCTGGTGTCAGTGTGCCAGGGGACAGGGAGGGAGGCCCCATGCAGGCTGCTTTGCCCCAGACTGTGGTCCTTGAGGAAGAAGTGAGACTTGGCTCGTGGAGGCAAAATCAGAAGTGCCATGGTGGGACTTCAGGTTTCACTTTTGCCGCATTGATCCACTGCCATAAACAACAGATACCGTCTGTGACAGATGCCAGTTAATAGAGCATTCCAGATGGTAAAGTGCAGGACTACACATCTTTTACTGTATAAGCTTTCATAGGTAATACTAAGAACCAATTTTGTCAGAGCTGGTTGCAAGCTGTACTTCAGTCACTCACTAGGTAAATTGGAAATCTGCTCCAGGTGCCAGAAAACTTCAACCACCACTGAGGCTAGGTACAGACATTAAAAAATCCTGATGGGGAATTGATCTAAGTTGCACAGTTTTCTGTAAGCAGTGTAGTTTAGATGGGTAGAGAACAGAACACATACTTACTCTTTGGTAGACGCACACAGGCTGCCTATCTTAGACCAGGTTGTGCCATTTTTAAACCAGTCTACATGTGCTGAAGTTCTGTTCTGTTACGTGTTTAGACCAGTTTCCAATCACTTGTAACGGTAAAAGTGTAACATCTTTTACCTTGCTTGCGTGAGTGTTTCATGAAGTAGGCTTTTTAGTTACCTCATACATTACCACAACATTACTTTTATACTTGATGATATCTTGATGTCATTGATGTTAGCTTTGTATAGAATAAAGATATTAGGACTGACATCTTCATAAAATGATCATGTGACATTCTGTTATTGGTTTGAAGCATAATGTTTCTACCCCTTTAACGCCACTGACTTCCAGAGTAATGCTAATAGGGTTATTCTACCAATGATGCTTAACAAATATTGATCCTATAGTCAGGTTTGTCAATCCTCATATTAAAAGCATAAACACTCCACTCAGTCCATCTTTGTTCAGGCTGGTGGAAACACTATTTCTGGTCAATGTGCTCAAAAGTCTAACACATATACCAGCATGCTCACTCCTACTTGCACTACATAATTAGATATGCATAGCTACTCCCATACTAGTAAGTGGCTAGTCTATCAGAGTACTATATTCCAAACCAAATGTGGGAATTTTTTCATGTACCTAAGCAATTTTGGTGCACAAGTAGTTAGAAATGCTCCCTTCAGTTATATGTTAGTTGAGTGTAAAAGTAGGTTAATAGAAAACTAGAAGTTCATGTTTTTAGTGTTCATGGACTTGATGTAAGTACAGAAGTCACTGATCTCTTTCTGTGCTGAGCATAACACTTCTACTAACTGGTTTTAAAAAGGAATTTATATCTATAGAAAAGTCATGAATTATTTCAAAGACACCCTAGGGTTCTGAATTTCAATATTACATTTTAATGCTAGTATTGGCTCTATAGTATTTTAAAGTAATACTTGGAAACTCTTCTTCCTTCAAACTTCAAAGAAATGTAAGGACATGCTGACTAGGCACTGGCCTAGAGAAATAAAAAGAAAAAATGGAAAAAGTGTATGAATACCCTGAGGAAAAACAATCCCTGAGGCTTTATAAATCTAGAACGTTTGATATATATCTTCTATAATTTTTAGTTAGATGGTATCTGTTGCAGGTGAAAACCAGGAGAAAAAAAAATTATGTAGTTAAAAATGTGATGGGAGACACCTACACATAACTTTGAAATTTTTGCAAAATTGGCATACCAATATGCACAATTCAGTGTGCTCTATATGGAAATGCCATTTTGTGTAGATGCAATTGCTATCTATTATTAAACTTCTATTAATACCAAGATAACAATGTAATTACCTAAATTAAATACAGTATTCTTTTATTTGCCATTCTAGCTAAATGTTTTCACAAACATCCTGTCATCCTTGATCACGGTTCTTGTTATGCAGTAGCTGAGCCCTAAATTTCACAAACTAATGTTATCCATTCTGGCCATCTAAAAGATACTGATGGTGTGGTGTGACAAAAGAAAGTGACAGAATTAGTCTCAGAGGGCACGTCTATGTATACTGAGCAGTAACCAAAATTACTACATTGGTACAGGAACATATCTCCATGTGCATAGTAAATATGGCACCTTATGCCAACTTGAGCATAAATGTGATCCCTTCATCATTCAGGGATCAAATTTATGCCTGATTAGTTGCTGTGCAGTAATGCACGTGTAGACCTGTTACTGCGCAGTAACCTAGGGGGCCTCCCTGCTGGGTCTGCCCAGCCACTAGGGGGCTGGCCTGAGCCCAGCCCCAGGGCTCCTGACTGGCTGCCTCTCCTGGCTTCAACTTGGGACTAAAGTTAGTCCCAAGTGCTGGCAGCCACCTGACTGGAGGCTGGAGCTCCCCCTGGTAGCCACAGGGGCACGTGGCAGACTGCTCTGACCTGGGACTAAATTTAGTCCCAGGTCACTTGCACATATAGACACCAGCCTATTTCTGCTTACTATGCAGTAACTTACTGTGCAGTAAATTTAAGTCAGCATAAATGCAAGTGTAGACATGCCCAGCGTTGCTTAGGCATTTTGTTTTTAAGCAAAAATAAAACAGCGCTAGAGAACTGGTAGCATAACCTGAATGTACAGCTGGTCAAAATTATTTGATTAACTATAACCAAATATCTAATTTTGGGGGGGAAAAAATTGAATTTAACATTAAATTGACATGATGTCAAAAATTCATCTGCAGGGGACCCCTAGAGCCCTGAGTGTCCCCCCCACTGTGCTGCACTTGACTCAAGGAACAGATTACGGTTGCTCTTGGATAGCTCATTTTTACAGCAAGCCTCAGTTCTACTGCCCTTATATTGGGCCCTACAGCTGCAATGAGGGATTCTCTGGCAGACCCAGGGAGTCGCCCCATCTTTGGGTTGGGAAGAAAATATAGATCTCCCTCTCCATAGAGCGAGTTAGCCTAGAATATTACTTGCCCAGAAGTCATCCTTTCCAAAGGCAATCAATAAGGAGACAAAAAACAAAAGGATTTATTATAAAAACAGGGTAAGTATAAGAAATCAGTCAACATATTTTGAGATACGAAGAGTGAAATGAATCACTCAAACAAAAAGATAATACTAGAATATTAAGCTGTTCTTCCCTTTCAAAGACCCAAAGATGCAGGCCACAGTGCCTAAAGCAGACTATGCCTATGACCTCATGCCAGAGACTTTTGCATCTCCCCGCCAGATTGCTTTTCTCAGCCCCTTTGTCTAGGGGTCCTCATTCCCCCTTTTATCTGGGAAGACTGAAGACAAAGCATGCTTTTCAGGTAGGCTTTAAGTATCTTTGCCAATCTGACTATTAATATATGTTAAACCTTCTGTGACAGGGGGCTGCATGGGGCCAATCTCCAGGGCCCGCCCCCTGTCTTGTGGGCAACCGCCCGCCTATTTCGCCTGCCATGCCTTTGATTATAATTG